AGGCTTTTCTGAACTTGCATAGACATTAGTTCCGATCAGATGGAGAAGAAAGAGCTAAAGGAGATTCTCCCCTTTCTCATTTGGGAGACTGTAGACTAGATAAAGTCAGGAATTACAGCAGGAGAAGCAAGCTTGGAATGCAAAGATAAACGTTAGTCTGTTGTGTCTATGTTGAATTTCAGGTGTTTGGGATAAGATAAGTATAGTTCTCAAATGTTTAATAGAGTAACCTATATGACAGCACCCTGAAAGTTTGAAAATACAATGCAAACAAAAAGTACTAATAGTTTTAATAACTGAGATATGACACACCTATAAAATGTATTCTGAAACCAGAGTAAGAGGTGCAATGAGAACATTCTCAGGGATTCACTGGAGACCACTGCAAGATCTCTCCCTTTCATGTTTCTGGTGTCCACTGCCTGGAGGAAGCCCAGTTCTTCTCTTACTGATAAGTACCTCTGTGAAGTTGAAAGCCTAAGGGCAAAACTTAGAAAAAATAAATGTTTGGTCCTCTCGGCCCCAAGGTTTCTCTAGGTCCTCTCCAGGCCAGGGCAAGCCTATCAGTTTTAGCCTTTCACTGGGCTACCCTTAGTGAAAGACTCCAAAAATGACACAAGAGAGATCTAGTACCCAAGTCTTTGTAAAAGCAGGTATAGTGAACAGTACAATGCACATATTAGGTCGGAGGGTTAAATGCAGCCTTGCTAACCCCAAGGAATGTAGTGGTACACATATGGGATATGGGAAGGGACAGTTTATTCAGAGAGCATACACCACAGGTCATAAAGCCCCAGTGTCTGATGTACAGGAAAATATTTAATGAATTAATAAGGTGACCCTGTGGCACATGAACTTGTTTTTCCATCCAGACTTAAAGCAGACATTTTCTGGTTGATTAAAGCCAAAAGAGATGTTTTTGCCAGCATATCCAGAATAAACTAGTTTTCTAAAAATAATATATTGGCTTCAAAAAGAGTTCGTAGGATACCAAAAATATTATCTGTAAACTTAAGTGATAAGATTATGGAATATTTTATTTTTTCTGGGGACAGGTCCCTGTATTTTCTAAGTTTTCTATTGGACAAATACCAAAAATATTAAAGTGATTAAGTTTGGGTGGTGGGATTATGATTTACTATCTTTGGGGACATGAGTATCACATGAGTATCCTGAGTATCACTCATCATATAGGTGATCAATAAACCTTTCGTGAGGGAGGAGGAAAAAAGTTATCAGCTGGAAAGCTTTTATCTGAACATTGCCTTCAAGTTTATTTTATAATGTGCTTGAGGAAGTGATTAAGATTGTGCATTTTCCTTCTCAGCATACCATGGCATCACCACTGCCAGTTTGTGTGATATACAGTAGAAGCAGCAGAAAATGGGGATTTAGTTACATCTCTTCTTTTGAACGCCTTTATTGGGTGACTTCTTAGAACTGAAGGTTTCTAAGAGATTCATCAGGTTAACTCTGCAACAGCTTACAGCTTTTTAAAAATTGATAAAAGCAAGACATTCAAACACAATAATATAAGCAACTTAAAGATGTAGGAGGAGGGAGTGGAAAATAGACTGATTTGTTCCAAGAAATGCAGATATTCAGAGGCCAACTAGGCTTGCACCTTTGAAAAGATATCAGCAGAGACTCTCCCCTTACCTGCTCCCTGCCCATCCTCCCCCCACATTGCTGAGCAATTCCGCAAAAAATATGTCACAGAGAAACAATATTACCCTCAAACCTTAGGAGGTACCTATGTTCCCAAATTGAATTTCTAGAAGTGACAATCTGAAAGTTGCTGGCTGGGCTGAAAACTAACTATGCCCTTGAAGACGACACAGAATCCCTGGAATTTTGGACACGAATATATCAGCTCCAGAAGTTTGATATTTCTGGCTTCCTGCCCAGACTCCAGTTACTGTTTGAGTATTTCTAGTTCTGTATAGGTACAATTTTCCTCTCCTTAAGATGCTAAAACCAAAGCTAAGAGTCATCCTAATTAATGGAATTCATTTATTACATCAAAAGTAACCAGTGACCAGGACTAACACCTTTTACGCTATACAAGATAGTTGATTAGCTCTTTTTAGACTGCTACAAAAAAATCTGATGGGGGATAGATGGAAAAGTTCTATAATATTATTAAAATAAAACATTTCTGATCATGTAGTCCCTCTATTGAAAAATATGTGGGGTATATACTGATCTAGGCTTTGAGAATGAACTACAGCTGAGCCATGCTCTAATCCTAAACACTAGTTGAGCCTACCTCAAAAACAGTGGTAGAAATAGAGGCAGACATATGTTCTTCCTTAATAATGGAAAAGACAAGGAAACATACGTATTAGGGCTGAAGTTCTAGAACTATTCAACTGTTAAAAGGGGAAATGAAATTTATTCTATTTCAAGCATTTGCTTCACAGACCAACTCACTCTAAGGCAGTTTGTAAAACATTTTTTTTTTTCTATCTCATATGAAGAGACACCAGTGGTGGATAGTGGGGCTGGGACAGGATAGTGACAGACACAGAGGATGCCATGGCCCCAGCACCATCCTCACTTTGCACTGGAAGAGACTTTTACTCCTTATTGTGTGTCATAATTGGATGCGAGGGGAGAGAAGCGGACAAAGGAACAGAACTGTCTCCTTATTCCTCAAAATCCAAATGCTGGAATGACTTTCCTCCTGTTTTCTTCTTCAAACTGTTCCATCATTAAGGCATCATTCTAGGCAGCTGCTGATTGGGGTTCTTAGCATTAGAACAAACTTAATGTCTAACTAGAACAGGAATAATCACTGCTGATAATGGGGGAGGGGGGAACTTCCCAGAAACCATCCTTTGAAAGAGACCAAAAACAGCGGTAGGCCTTAGGAGACAGTTTTTCTCAGTAAAATCCTGGGTCCTTGGGAGCTTCTAAAAATGGTGCTTCTTATGTTAATTCCACCGAGGGACCCCTGGGTTGAAGATCTGCAAACTCAGCTAGCATGAACAGCTAAAGGTCAGAAACCAGACTATTACCATCAGAGTTCCCAGGTAGATTATGTCTTGTCACAGGTCAGCTGAGAGCTCAGAACTTGGGGTACTAGGAATGCATACAGTCAGGATATTCACACCAAAATGGGAGGAAGGAATGGATTTCTCCCAGCTCCCAGGCTAATAAGGAGACTTTAAAGAACCTGGTTCCATCTGTAGAACAAAGTCAGTTGACTGAATGCAGCTGGGTTCGTGTCCCTCCAGAATAAACCAGAAATCGAAATTTTTAGCTCTGCCCAAGCCTGAATCCTCACCCTTTCTTCCTAGAGGCTGCTTACTTGTTCAAAGTTAAATGGGCCCACAAGGGAATGCATCACAAACGCTAAGCTATGTTAAAGAGAAGACTTTATAAGCAATAATCAGTCCAGAGATTCCAACTATTTTTCAGTTAAGCATTTACCACTCAATACCAAGTATTTCCTTGTCTTTTCTTCCTCTTTATCACTGCAAGATTTGTAATTTGGGGGTTTTGGTTTTGATAAGAAAAAAGTCCTTTGATGTCTTAGAAAAATAGCATACACTGTTTTAAATGAATTGTTATTAATGTTTATCTTTAGATTAAGCAGGAAATAAAGAAATCTGACACCAGATTATAAAGAAAACATTCTTCTGCCCCATTTGATTATAATTGCTAAATGTTAGGCAATACTTGTAGACCTACTATTAACTTATTAATTTGGGATTGACTTGGAAAAGTGATCCTTTCTCTCAAAACCTCCAGCTAAATTAACATAAATTGAAACTAGCTATTATTACATGGCATTTTGGATAGTTTTTCTTTGGTAGCACTGAGTTAAATACATTTATTTGAATGTTTTCGGTTTACATTTGAAAACCTCTATTTTTTCTTTATATGAAGAGCCATCTGAAGATGTTGGCTCCACAGTTTCCAGCAAAAATGTTAATTTGCAACCACAAAGCTACACTTTGAAAATGTTTCTTTACTTTTGAACTGGCGATTCTGTAGAGACGCTCTCCTGCTCAACACTCAAAGAATAGGAGGGGTGCTAATTTTTTGTTTTTCTTTAAATTTGTGGGCTATTTATTTCTCAAGCGTAAACCCCAAACACTTGTTTTGTTTTTACAAATAACCAGGTGACTGTGCATAGTATGAATATTTCCTCTAGTCAGCTTAAGTTCAATGCTTATCAAAGTTGATGTTCAATTTTAATATTATTAATTATCCTCTCTTGGCTGTAACTGAAATCATAATCATCCCGAAAAGACTACCAATTAAAATATCCGTTTGCCTATATGGAAAGTACCCTTCCCTAGAATATCCCAGGCATCTTTAAAAGGAAAAAAATGTACCCTTAATCTCATCTTGCAAATAGAAGCTTAAATTTTACCAACAGGTCAGGGACAGGGTCAAGAATAACAGAACACTAATGCTTATTTTCAACCTCAACCCGAAAGGATTTTTTAAATCACACAAAAACTCTTTTTTCCCAGACTTCGTTAAAAACAAACTTGTAACATGAGAACAAGGCTAGTAGTTAAAAGACCTTTCCCAGCTGTGGGTTTCGGAGCTAATACTAAATGCAGTGGAAAGAGAAAAGCACTCAAAGCTGCTCTCCTTACCTGAGATGAAAGCAGTGCACCAGCTTCGTTACTATTATAACCATCTTTCCCAGGTCAAGAGCACGGAACGCCTGGATGACAAGAAGTGTAAAAGGAAGCGATGATGTTGAGCCGCGGCGAGAATCTTCCCAGGGGGCTGGTGCCCTGACACACCTCCTCTCTCTGGCTCCGAAGAGAAGCAGCTCTCACTCTCCCTTCACGGTGAACCACAGCCTGTCATTTCTGCTCAACCATCCAGCAGCTGCTAGAAGCATCGGGCTGAAGCGCGGGCACGAGGACCAGGAACACGAGACCAGCGCTGCTGAGCCGGCAGAGCGGCTGCGGCCGGGACTCCCAGGGAGCCCGCGGCTGCGCGGCCGCAGCTGAGGCTAGGACAGCCGCACGTTACGGGGCAGAGGTCAGCCTTTCAGGAGCAAGGATCAGCTGCCGCAAGAGCCTCCACGCCCCCGCCAGCCCAGCGCGAGCCAGACGCGGCTCTGAGCGCAGAGCGGTCCCAGCTACTGAGCATGCTCGGCTGCCGAGGCTCCGACTAGGCCTTGCACGTGGTAACTTCTTTTCCTGATCTGAGAAAGGGAGAACCGAGAGGTGGGCCGAGGGTGAGATTTAATGGAGGTAATTTCTAGAACAGGGAGGTGACCTCTTCCCCACCTTCCCCCTTCAAAAAAAAAAAAAAAGAAAGAAAGAAAAACACATCGCACTGCACTTAGCAAATATTTTTGATTGATAGGTTGATGGAGATGTTTGAATGCTATCAGTAATGTTTAGTCTTTAACTCTCTCCCTGCACAATTAAGTTGACTCTGGGGTCAAGTATGTGGTCTAGGTAGTAAAAGGGTTTTAATCTCAGCAAATCGCTGTAGCTCAAAAATTGGGTATGGATTTGCCAATATTTGAAAGTCTAGCAAAGTGCTATGAATTAATTGATCTCTACACAAGTGAAATTTGCCTAGAGATAATTACTTTAAGGAAAACAAGTCTTTTATAAAACTGTGGAACTTTCAAAATTTAAATGTTAACCTATATTATAATAACATTTTGAAATTTAAATCTTTCAGATGGCAAGCTCAGTGAAAGCACGAACGTTGCTTATTCGTGAATTGTAAAGCCAAATCGTTTTTCCTGGGCTTGGTGAATGGCAAGTGCTTATAAATGCTGGTGTGACAGTGAATTGTGGGTTTGTTAGTTAATCTGTAAATAGCATTTTTGAAGTTCTTGAATTTTGATAGGAACCTTCATTCTAACTTGACCTCAGCTTTGCATTTTGGGCCCAATGACTCTAATTGTTTGTCATTAGTGTCCAGTGCATAAGCAAATTGGCTTTTAAATAGGATTTTCATTTTTGTGTGCTGTGTGTGTATCCATCCCCTTTTGCTCTCTTGCAGCCCTCCTAAGATGCTCTTTGCCAAGGTGAGCCAAATCCAGATCATGTTCTCTCTGCTACTGTTGAAATCAGGGATATTGACTCTCCATGGTTTGCAGATAACACAGTTATTTCGTTTTGAAAAACTTCTAGCAAGTCAATTCTCCCAAGTCTGTGGAGGATGAATCCAAGAGGATTTCATGGCTGAAATGGAGCTATAGCCTGAAAGCTGGGCCTGTGACAGTCCGGACAGGAAACATGGGTGAGCTAGGAGTCAGGCGTTTCTTGAATCCTTACCAGGTGCCACCTTGGCCCGTTGATCCAATCCCTTAGGTCAGGAAAGTTCTTTCTCTCCCCACCACCCCATATCTGTCTCTCTCCCTGTCTTTCTTCGTCTTTCCCTTCCTCTCCCTCTCCCTCTCTTACTCCATCCTCTGACTACCCTCCACACTCCCTTGAAGACTCAGGTGCTGCTGGAATCCAGAGCCCTTCCTGGCTCCCCTCCCCCATGCCTCTCCAGAGCATACTTTTATCATTACACTTTCTGGATTGTCTTTAACTAAATCAGGTCCTACTTACCACCAGCTGTGAATTCCTTAAGCATACAGACAACACTGGCTATACAATTGTATACATCTGCACAATTACTGGTTTTCACTTGTTTTCAGCTTAGATTAAGGCACAGGTGGGAGTCCTAATTGGGGTGGCCAATTAGAAAATTGGTGGAGTTAATTTAGGGACATTTCCTAAGGGAAGTGATTCCAGAATGAAAAATAAAATTTTCAATATAACCAAATCAAATATTTCATAACTGGAAAGGAAGATGTAGACCTTTTTGTACAAACCTGATAAGTATAAATAAGTACAAATAAGTACAAATAATCAGGGTGGAGCAAACAGATGGTCTTTAATCCCTGCATCTTTGTCCCGAATAGAAATAGAAGCAGAAAAGGAAGCGCATCTGCCCTTGCCATGGGCCCTTTGGACCCACTCATTTTATCTCATAGCAGAGATTCCTTATACCATTGCCCTTATTCACCTCCTACAAACTTTTGCTATTCATTAATTGCAGTAAAGCTGGTTCTCACAGGTTACCCAGGATGTCCAAATCATCAAAGCCAAGGATTTCTGTTTTGATGACAAAATCATAGCTATCATTTCTTTGGCACCTTATTCTCTGCCAGGCACAGCTAGATTCTTTACAAATACTGCATTTCATTGCCATAAGAAGCATCTTTTAATAGCACTTATCACAATTTTATACTTTGAATTTATAATATGTATAAAACATATGTATAATATGTTTGCTGACATCAAAAGAAAACAGGCACAAACAATAATTGGTCATGGATATGGATAGAATATTATCATGTCTGATGATGAAACCAAGGCTTTGAGAGCTCAAGATAATAGAGCTAATGGTGGAGCTAGGTTTGAAGCCTGACGGTCAAGTGTCAAAGTTCATCAGTGCTTCACCAGTGGAGATTGCAGCCACTCCTCTGGAGCCCTCACGCCCTGTTAAGATAGCAGAGCCCAAAAGGAAGCAGAAAGACTCCACCTTGAGAAGATCAGCCTTTGTTGTACAAAGCCAATGTTGTACAAAGTGAAAAGCGGAGATGGAAAACCTGAGTCTTTGGTGAATATCATTGAATTGACGCATTTACCCAGATGCCTATCTTACCTCACTTTTTGGAATGTGAGCTAATGAAATCTGATTAAAGTCACTTTAAATTGGGTTTTCCTAGGACTTTCCTGGTGACACAGTGGTTAGGAATCCACCTGCCAATGCAGGGACACGGGTTCAATCCCTGGTCCGGGAAGATCCCACATGCCACAAAGCAGCTAAGCCTGTGTGCCACAACTGCTGAGCCTGCGCGCTAGGGCCCGTGCTCTGCAACAAGAGAAGCCGCCACAATGAGAAGGCCTAGCACCGCAATGAAGAGTAGTCCCTGCTCGCCACAGCTAGAGAAAGCCCGTGTTCAGCAACGAAGACCCAATAAGCTTTTTTCACTTTCTTAATCAAAATGTTAAAATGATTAAGAATTAACTCAATTTCTGTTTTTTTAAATATATTTATTTATTATTTTATTTTTGGCTGCATTGGGTCTTCATTGCCACACGCAGGCTTTCTCTAGTTGCGGCGAGCGGGGACTACTATTCGTTGTGGTGTGTGGGCTTCTCACTGCAGTGGCTCCTCTTGTTGTGGAGCATGAGCTCTAGGCACGCGGGCTTCAGTAGTTGTGGCACCTGGGCTCAGTAGTTGTGGCTCACGGGCTCTAGAGCGCAGGCTCAGTAGTTGTGGTGCACGGGCTTAGATGCTCCACTGGCATATGGGATCTTCCCGGACAAGGGATTGAACCTGTCTCCTGCATTGGCAGGCCGATTCTTAACCACTGTGGCACCAGGGAAGTCCATGAATTAACTCAATTTCTTAGCATTACACTTGAGAACTTTCTCCTGACCCATTTGTGTTTGTACCTTTGCCTCCCATTATACTCTGCCATGCATTTTACATCTGGCTGAGCTGGACTCCTTGCTCTAACTGTATCCTTTGCTCTCCCACAGTCCACTCTGCCCTCATCCTGCATTTTTCTCCTATTTGTCATATATGTGAGTTTCTTCCTTACTGATGATAAACTCCTTAAACGCAGGAATTGGATTCGTCTTTGTGTCCCACTGTATGTTTCACATTGTAGGATCCAAGTGGAGATTTGCTGTGTTACTGAGCTGAATTCTGGAATGTGTGACCTCAAACTTTTGTATTAGTAACTCCTTACAAAAGTAATAGAGATAATGCCCTCCTCAATTCCATGAGAACTTGCTTCTGGAAGATGTAAAGTGCTATTCCATGATTCATATTTTTTAAAGAATTTTTTAAAAATAATTTTTAAAAGAATTAATTCCATCTCACTCCTGTGGGCCTGTGTGTTTCCACACAGAAGTTCTATTCTGAAGCTTCGGTGTCCAGTGTCAGGCAGTAAAGTTGAGCATTGGCTGTTTAATACTCCATTTTCCACAAACTTAATCCCCAAGGCTAGTGAATTATCGAGGTTTTGAGTTAAATTTATAATGTACTTCAGTTCTTGACAGGGAAAATAATTTTCTCTTGCATGATACACTATTTTCTCAGCATTCATTTTCAGGTGATATGTGTTGACCTAAAACAAACGGACTGCCAGATATTTCTCCAGCAAAGATGAGCTTTATTCAGTATCAGCAAGAATTGCTATGGATCGTTGTTAAAGTCAATCAGTGTATTTATGGGTAAGATATAATAATAGTGTTTATAAGTCAGAGCCCGGCAAGGAGATGGAAACCCCAGAGCAATTTGAAAAGAGATGGCTTAATATAAAGAATTATTAACTATTTTCAGAGAAAACTACCAAAAGGGAATAAAGAGAACTCTAAAGAATACCCCAAGGCTGAAGAAATATCCAAGGAAGGAGGCTCTCCCCAGGGCTGGGACTCAGCCCTCTTTGAAGTGGTTGCTGCCCACTGGATGGTGGAGAAGTTTACAGCACTGGTCCACAGTCAGCAAGCTGAGGCTTGCAGGCATGGACTTTGGGGGGCTGTGACTTACAAGGCGGAAGGCTTCTGCAGTGATGCTAGTGGGCTGAGGCTAGTTGATAGGACATTGCCTGCTGGGGTGCTGATGAGATTTGCTGGGAGGCTGCCTGTGGAAGCTGCTGTTGTACTGGCTGGGAAGCTGGCTGGATACTGGCTGGACTCACTGAAAAATTGCCAGGGAGTCACGTGCAAGAGGTATTGTTGAAAGAATCTAAAAAAGAGTGGATATATGTATGTGTATAACAGATTCACTTTGCTGTACACCTGAAACTAACACAACATTGTATATCAATTATACCCCAATACATTTTTTTTTTTTTAAAGAGGTTTTGTTGAACTCTCTGGACACCCACAGATCCCAGCTGAATCCAGCCGTGAGGATGTGCCACTGAACTTACTGATGTGAAGCTGGAGTGACTGTAGAACTCTCCAGATGCTGCTGCCTGGAGATGGGAAGATGCGTGAACTCAGCTAAGATGACTCCAGAACTCACCTGCAAACTGCCTTGTGGGGTACTGCTGCACTTACTGCTGGAAATCCTATTGGGGCACTTTTGGAACTCACTGAAGACTTCTACAGGGGTGTGGCTGAAACTCACTGAAGGTGAGCTGCACTGAACATCCTGCACATTAGCCCA